CCTCTCCTCCAGCTTCCCCTTCCTCCACCGCCTGGCGGCTGCCGTGGCGGCTGGCGGCGGAGCGGAGCGGCGAGCGGCTGGCGGCCGGACCGGGGCTAGCTTCAGTTCAGTATTCAGTCTGGGAATCACTGATGAGCAGTGCCTCGGATCTCGCCGGCGCCGGCCCACTGGCCGGGCCTCCCGGGCCGACTCAACGAAATGCAAGTCCGTCAAGTTCAGTGTCAAGTGCAAAATGGTCCAATAAGTGAAAGTGTTGCAAAGCAAAGCGTGCATGTTTGTTTAGCCTAAGTGTAGTGCAGTGTAGTTTATCCTAAGTATAGTGCAGTGTAGTGAAGTAGTAGTAGTGCTCAAGTGTAAGCTTTCAGCCTGCCGCCTATATAGGCAGACCAGCCTAAGATCGCGATTTTCCTCACCCCCTCTCGCCCGCAAACTCCTATACCGCCTGTACTAGCCCAGTCGCGACCTTAGGCTGGTCTCAGTATAGTGCTGTGTAGTGAAGTGTCAAGTGTCAAGTGCTCAAGTCTCAAGCTCTGCGTGGGTGTGGGTGGCACCCGCGCCCCGCTGTCTCCGCTGGACTCTGCGCTCCGTTAGTCTGGCTGGCTGGCGATCGACTCACGGTAGGCTCATCAGTGATTAGAGTCGAATAGGGCCTTTGTTGGCAGCTCAGCGTAAGGTCTCCCACATATTCATATGACACTCTGCGTCCTTCTAAACGGAGTCAGGCAAAGGGCATGGCGTTTCCGTGAGGGGAGGGGGTGGAGGGGCGAGGGGCATCTGCGCTCTGGAGTCCAGGCATGCGAGCTGTACGTATAAATAAGGCGTTTCGACCAAGCTGCTCGCTTTAACTGGCGAACTTACAACTTTACGAGAGTACAAGCTGACGAAAACTGCGTATCATCTGCTAAAAATTAGATTCTCATGATTCTCCTGATAGTCATCACTGACGGCGAGCGCGAGTCGTTGCTACGTCGCCCCTCCCTATTCAGCTTTGCACTTTTTCTTGGATCATACAAAATATATCTGAATGCGGAAGAGAATTAGACAACTCTAACCCTTTTTAGCAGATGATACCTTAAATACTTTAACTAAATATAAAGAAAACATAAGTAACTTTAAGGTGTCAGCAGGAAAGAGAACTAAGAGCAAAACCAGAAATCATTATTTGTGCGCTGGGGGAATAGTGTCCGGCTGGCTGAGTGTCGCGCCAAGCCCCTTCCTTGCCCTGCCTAACAATACCGCGCCGGATTGGCCCCTTCCCTGACCAACAATACTGGGCCACCGCCGCCAGCCGTCCTGCCCTCCTCGTATATGTCCTCTGCGCTACTAGGCCACCGAATTGCAAGATTGCAAGCAACCAAACAGAATGCAGCTAATGGGATAAAATAAGAAGATAGCCTTATTCATAAATTTGTATCATCTGCTTTCAAGATCGATTCTTAATTGAGATTTTTTTCTTTTTCAGAATAGCCAGCTTATTTGTCCTTCTTGTCTTTCCACGTAGAAGCATGCAGGGATTACGAGGGGTTGCTGGTACATATCGAGGTAATGTGATTCTGTTTCATTATTTCTTGTCCTCTCTTTCATTTTCCTGTTTTTGTTGAGCTTGTGTTTAGCCACGGTTTTGCTTCTCCTACAGACTTATGGAGGGCACGTAGACCTGAGCCCCACTGGCGAGAACACAATCGAGCGGTCAGCGACGCTGAGCCGCGCTCAGTGAGCTCAGTGAAAAATCCTGGAGGGCCTGATATTCAAACAGAAGGTAGTTTTTTTTTTTTTTTTTAAGGCAGCTCTATTCGGCCAAATTCATCACGGCGAGCGTGGCCGGCAACAAGTTGCTCAACCTCAACGATTATTTGTAAGTTTTTCTCTGCTCAAGGGTTCGCACGAACTCGTTTCGTTTCGTGTGACACGTCGTGGATATACCTGATGTACCTGATGTAATGTTTCAGGTGTAAATTTTCAAGCAACTACAAAAAGATATTCGATGCCAACCAAATACTGAGGAGAGAGAAG